TAAAAAATAAATATTTTTAAAAATAATATTTTATAATTTTAATAACACTTTAATATTTTCATTGGTAGTCATTACTCTCTCTTATGCAGTCTCCCCCTCCTCGAATCTTTCTTAGCAAGTAAGCAGCTCCCTCGAACCAACGGATCCTAGAGTTTAGAAAAGGATAAAGCGTGTGAAATCAGGAGAGTATATATCAATTGACAAAATGGAGTTTGGTCCATTTTGGAATTCCACCCAAAAAAACAGGTGAAGTGACCATGTCAACTTACTCACACCTTCGGTGGTATGATGGTAAATTTCCTTTTTTAAAGAAAATGGTCAACTAATGGTGATGGTAATTGCATGAAATTTTACGAATGACTTATTCGAGTAGACAAAATTTGATTATCTTTAATAAAATTTTGAATTTGAGTTTTATGAATGAAAAAACAGACGTTGAAAGAGTTTTCTTTTATATAGGGTCCGTGCTAACTCGACTTCAAATTAGTTACGATCTAATGTGATTTTTAGATACTAAGCGTTAGAAAAGAAAAAAAATTTCATGTACCTTTTGTTTTGAATACGAGGTAATCATGGGGAAGAAGGAATATTTTCAAATGATTGGTGGATCAAATTTTTTACCATCTCAACTTAAATATTGAGGTTTGAGGATAAATTATTGGACTTAAAGGTTTGATTTGGTAATTTCATGTACTTGGAATATATATATATATATATATATAAGCTTCTAAGTACTTGGGAAGTGATAATTATCAATAAAAAACATAAGTTTAGTGTGACACTATTATCACCCTAAATGTTGGATTTGTTATATAATCTTCTATGAGTTTTTTTTTAACTTATATTATTATTGCACAAGTTAAGAATTTTTTAATATTAATTAATATTAAAAAATTAACATTTATTTAAATAGTTGTCTAATTAAAATGAGTCATATGACATTGATAATAAAATTAAGATTTTGTTTAATAATGTTTCTTGGTCTTTTAACTTAAGATTTTTATATTTTTCAATATTTTTAAAATATTTAAAATATTAATTATAAGAAATATTAAATACATTTTACATATTTTTAAGATATTAAAGAACTAAAAAATTTACATTTACAGTTACAATTATAGACTAATACTGTTAAATTAAGTCTAATATAAATTGTTATTATTTTTAATATAAATTAGTATTAAAAAATATTAATTACTTCCTTAAATTTTACTCTAAAAATACAAGTGAGAAAAATCTATCTTTCTATTTGTATTAAATTTTGTCCCAATAATGCAAATGCCAACTTGCAAAAATTTTGTCGTGGCATAGACGGCTTTATTGGAGTTGACACTGTAATTAATTTGAAGCATTGACATCATCATATTTTAGCAAGCATGCATGTCTTAGATGTCCATATCAAAATCTGTATTTTTTTTCATACTGGATTTGATAATGATGGGCAAAATGACAAATTTCCTACCATTGACATTAAGCTTAGCAGACACATAAGACTGAAGAATTAAGATTGAAGAATTTATCGTTGCGTTTGGGATTTTCTATATATATATATATATATTTTTTCACAACCATAACAAAAATTTATAACCATAGTATCTTATTATTATTATTATATATATGATTATAAGGTATGCAAAAAAAAATAATCATTCTCTATTCTTAAATTTCTTCTCAACTCAAGACTTGAATTTAAAATTTTCAATTTAAATTCTTAAACTTTTAACCATTAAATCACCTTATTAGAGTTAATCATATCAATTTATAGTAATTCAAAACAGAAGGTACATGTAATTAACATTGTAGAAAATAAAATGTGATAAAAAAAAAATTATGGATTTCATATGAGATGAGTCGCTTGTAAATCAGCCCATATATGAGCATGAAGTTGGGCCTAAAGCCCACAGACCACAAAAATTGATCCAAAACTTGAGCTTAGGTTTGGATCGTTCACGCTGAGCGTTCTGCCTCAACTAAAAATGAAGAATTCTAACAACGGTCTAACATAAACAATTTTTTTTTAAGTTAATAATAATAAGATTTTATGAATTTGAGTGATATATAAGTAAAAAAAAAGTTGATGAATATAAGAAAATTGTCTCTCCTTATGCAATTCAAATAAAAAAAAAATGAAGAATTTTCACTAATAATTTATTACTCAAATTTTTGATTTTTTTAAAATAATTTATTGTTTTAGAATTCAAACAATGTCAAGTTATAAAATAAAAATGATTAAATAAAAAAAACATTAGTAACTTACCAACTTTAATAATTAAATTATTTATACTACATAATATATTTTTTTTAAATCTTTCCATAGGTTTAAACTAAGTAATTTGTCATTTATTTTTAAGTAAAAACACCCTTAAATTTAATGTTTAAGTCTATGAGATTATTTTTTTTCTCTTTTATAAAATATTACAATATGGAGTGAGTAAAAAAATTGTTTAAGACGTTAATGAGATCAAAATTCTGACAAATAAACTCAAATACTTTAAAATTTAGGGTAAACTAATGAATTGAAAGGTCCAATTGATTTGCAAGTTAGTTAAAAAAAAAAAAAAAGAAGGAATTATTGGTTATGGTGATATTACGGGAACCAAATACGGAGTACTATTTGGATAATTGGGATTGAGCTCTAAAAAAAGCAAAAAAGAAAGCTAAAGACAAAAATAAGCAGGAAATAGCAAGGCTTTTCTTGATTAGGGTAATGCGGTGTCGCTTGGGTGGCAGGCAAATCGGGGCATCACGAGACCCCACCAGTTTTTAACGGGTATGATTTTGAGTACTCCGTAGACCCCACCACGCACAACCACCACCTTAAAAAAAAGGTACTCACGCCCGTAATTGGTGCCACGCAAAATGGAAGTTTAAGAAAAAAAAATTTTTTTCTTTAAATAAATAAATTTAAAAAAAGGGGATTATTTCGGAAAGAAAGACGGTGGCGGACACAACGGAACGGGTTCAAATTGGTTTAATTGATGTCGGGTTGGAGTCCGCGGCGCACGTGCGGAATCGTTCTGCTTTTGTGTGTGTGTGTGTGTGTATAATGAACTGTGTGCGTGGGACGACGGTCCGTCCGGCCCCCACCTCTTATCCAAATTTTTTAAATTGTCAAATTACTCATCAATTACAAAACAAGTGTTTTTTTTAAAATTATTTTTAAATTAATAATTTAAAAATAATATTATTTATTTATTCATAATATCTTTTTTTAAAAAAAAAATAACAATAAATTTAAAATAAAAAATAAAAGTTATTTTAAAATAAAGAGAATAAAATTATAAAATTATTTGTTGTGGTTTTATAGCAGTCTCCTTAAAAGATTTGAGTGTCAATCAAGTCCCTCCAACATTCAAATTGAAGGACAAAAATGAGCATATATATTAAGTAAAAGAATATTAATGTACAAAATAAAAAAATATTGTTAATGAAAAAATATTTTGTGAAAAAATAATAGACCAATTTTTTATTTAATTAATCTTAATTTTTATTAATATTCCTTCTTTATATTCATGATATTTCTTACTCATCATCATCAAAAATAATCTTCTATAATGGAAAAAAAAAAAACTAGGAAAGGGACTAAAATGGTATGAAAAAATTGAGAATTCAAAGATAAAAATAGGAAAGGAACCAAAATGGTATGAAAAAAATTGAGAATTCAAAGATAAAAATAGCAAAAATAAAATTTATAAACCCAATTAACTTCGTCTTAAAAGTTTAAAGCTTCTATTTGGTTAGAAACTAATTTTAATGAAAAATATTATACAAAAAGTTAAAAAATATTATATAAAAAGTTTATAAATTTTGTAATAAAATTTTATTAAAATTTTGTTGAATTGTTAATTTTTATGTATTTGAAAAAAATTGACATAAGAATAGTTGATGAGAAAATTATCAAATGAATTTTATATAAGAAAAATTAGGGAAAAACATTTTTCTTTAAAAAATAGTATGAGATTTTAAATTCACAAATAAAAAATTATATTAAAAAAATAAAAATAAAAAATATCATTTTTATACTTATTTTGTTGTTATATTAAGA